GCGGGGGGGCGGGGCGCCGCCGCGGGGCGGGGCTACATAGAGAGGGGCGTGGCTTCCTTAGGGAGGACGGGCACTTGGCTAAATAGGGGTGGAGGGCTACGAGGGGGCGTGGCCTACGGTGGGCGTGGCTAAACGGGTGCGGCGTTGCTATATAGGAGGCGTGATTTATTTGGGGGCGTGGCTACATAGGGGAGTGCTTATGCGCGGGGGCGGGGCTATGTGTGGGTGTGGTTGCATAGGGGGCGTGGCCTCCGCGGCGGCCGCTTCCGCCCCGGGGCGGCGTTGCCGGGCGGGCGCTGTCCCGCGCCGGAAGCGGACGTTGCGGCGGCGGCGGCGGAGGTGGCGCGGCGGCTTCCGGCGGCTCCGTGGCACGCAGGGCGGGCGGGCCGCGCGGCAAGATGGTGCTGCTCACCATGATCGCGCGCGTGGCCGACGGGCTCCCGCTCGCCGCCTCCATGCAGGAGGACGAGCAGGTGCGGCGGGGCCGGGGCGGGCGGGCGGGCGCGGGCGGCGGCGCTCGCGGCCGCGCTCACGGCCTCGCTCCCCTCTCAGTCAGGCCGCGACCTGCAGCAGTACCAGAGCCAGGCGAAGCAGCTGTTCCGCAAGCTCAACGAGCAGTCGCCCACGCGCTGCACGCTCGAGGCGGGCGCCATGGCCTTCCAGTGAGTAGCGGGCGCGGGGCCGAGCCGGGGCGCCCTGCGCTGCCGCGAGGCCGCCGTGCGCCCAGCGCCCGGCTTTGGGGACGGGGGAGCGTTTCCAAGGGCTGTCAGCCGCCCCTTGGGCAAAGGCTGTGGTGTTTCGAGGTGAGCGTTTCTTGTGATTGACTATTACAAGATTTTTTTTCCTTCCTCTCCCAGCTTGTGGTTGTCCCTGATAACAGGGACGTTCAGGGGAGCGCGTGGGGCGCTGATTCTGGGAGCGCTGGTGCAGCCGGGGCGTTGCTGGCTGCAAAGTGCTGCGCGGAGTCTCCTAGAGAGCTGCCAGCTCTGAAATGGCTCCCTGGCACTGCGCTCACACATCCCTGCTTGTCTCCGACTGATGCTGGGGGCTTGGGAAGGAGCCCTCGCAGCTCCTAGCCAGTCCCTGGACGCGCTGCTTCTGCTCCTGTGAAAAAACCATCCAGGAAGGCTCTTCAGGTTGTGCTGCCCGGGAAATTAGGGTCTCCCATGGGTGGTGTCAGCATCACCAGGGGAATTTGGGCAGGGTCACGGTCTGAAAAACAACGGGGATTGTGTCCAGATGGCTGAGGAGGGCGGAAAGGAGCATCTGTCCCCAGCCTGAACCAGTCCCCAGCTGCACAGCACCCAAGTGAGGGCTCTTTTAAGAGAGGATATCGAGGCAGGCACTGTGTGAAGAGAATGTTTTAATAACTTTGAGGGTTATTAAAATGTACCTCCTGCGATCGTGCTACAGTAAGGAGAGGAGCAGGAGGCCTCTGAGCCTTAGTCTGCAATAATCTTGACTAGTGACCACACAGCACATCATCCCTTGTGCCAGATCAGAGCTTTGGCTGCTGCGGGCAGCAGGACAGAGTGTTTTGCGGTACGAAATGTAAAAGTGCAGCTTAGGATATTGCTGAGCTTGCTGAAATGATGGGGGATGTTTTAGCCTGGCCACTTCAGAGAAAAGACTCTTGTTTTGGATGAAATGCAAAGCTCAAACTAAGACTCCTGAAGCAAGTTCTGTTAAATGAAACATTTAGATTTCAGTTCTGGGAACCTTGCTACCCTTCCAGCCATGATACTTGGTGCACGTGGCCCTGCTGGTAGAGCAGCACCTATGCAGTCATCATTAGGTGACCTTTGGCTGGTTAATGGTGTAACTGCTCCTGACCCATCCTGTTGAAAACAACCCTTGGCCTTTGCCACTGCTACTGGCTGTAGGGACTTAAGCTTTCCTGTTTCATAAAGGTCCAAATATAAGAAATCTATCCGCTACAGCTGCCACATGGAGGTCTGGAGCAGCGAAGTCGTAAGCGGCCAGCTGTGGTGTCTGCCCTTGCGTGCCGCGCTGCAGCCTGCGAGTGCATGCAGTGCGGAACGGAGGAGCCCAGCGGTGCAGGAACCCCCTTTTGATGCTGCGTTGGGGTTGATGGAGCTGTTCCAGTGCAGGGCAGAGCGGGGTGCCTGCTCTCTGCGCTGCTGGCAGGTTGATGTCACATCCAAGGCGCCTCACGCTGCGTCAGGGAAAAGCAAGTTGGGAAAGGCAGCTGGAGAGCCGCCGGCAGGAGCGGCCCGCCTGAGCCCAGAGCGGCTGTCCCGGCAGGGCTGCTCGGGGAACGCTGCCGTCCCCCACGGCTTTTCTTTGTTTCAAAAGACCTTTTCTGCCCGTGACTGTGGCAAAATCGAGCTCCAGGTCATGCCGCAGGGAAAACAGGCGCTGCCGACGAGCTCTCTGAGGGCGAGGGAGGATCAGGGACACGAGACATGCTGTGGAGCTGCTGCTGCAGGTTGCAGCTCAAGCTGAGGGGCTTGGAAAGGAGATAAGAAGAGTTTCTTGTGCAGGTGCCCTTGCACGAAGGATTATAACTCCAGTCTCTTGCTTCGTGATGGGCGGATCAGCTGTTCTTTACAGTGGGGCTGCATTTGCATCCAGGCCATAGAGACAGCAGAAAGGAATGATCCAGAGCCCCAAAACTACAAGTAGAGGATGGCTAATTCAAAGGATTTGGAATTTAAGGGATCGCAGGAAACACAGTGGGAAAGAGGTGGAAGGTTTTATATGCCTGATGCATCTATTAGCCAAAGGTTTTAAAGCATATAGTTAACTACAGCGGCCTTACACTTTTCTAATACCCTGTTAATGTGAGTGCTGATGGGACTGCTGCGTGCCGGTGCAAGGTGGTGAGCCCAAGGAGGGTAATGTAAAAGCAATCTTTCTACTAAACTAAAAGTAGTTTTCAATTTCCCCTCTGATAATAAATATTCTGAGTGTGCCCAGGGCTATGTGCCATCTCCACTACCTGAGCTCTGTGTGAAATACTGTTCCCTCTGTTTTTGTACTGGGCAAATAAGGAGGAAAACATAGGGATTGCACAACAGTAGACAGTTGTAGTGAAGCCTAAATAGCTGCTTTTCTGTCTAGCCAGGTCTAAATCTCAAGACCGGCTCCACTTTATTGCATACTTCAGCAAGCTTTTTACTTGAATTGTAATGAAAAGCCCCTGTCGCCGAGTGCTGACAGAGACACTGGAACGTGTCCCGAGCCAAGGTCAGGGCTAAGCACCAAGAGCCAAAGGGAATTTGGGAATTGGGGCTGGGAGGAGGGCGAGGACCCGGCGGCCGCCGTTCGCCAGGAGCAGCAGCGCGGGAGCGCGGCCGCGTTCGGAGGCTGCACATGTTCGGGGGGGTCCACGGGCTCCCGCCCTGCGCCCCGGCTTGGCCCCAGCTGCCTTGCAGACCGTGCGAGTGAGAAGCAGCAGCCACTGGGAGGTTAGTGCTGGGGAGGAAGGGGTGTCCAGCCCTCCCAAGGGGAAAGCTGGTTTGTCAGGGCATTAGCCCTCTCAGACCAGCTTCCTCTGGTGCCCTGATTTCAGAGCTTGCTCTTTGTGACGTTTGAGTGCCCATTTGTGCTCTTAGAGCCGTCTCCATTTCTCTTTTCCCTGCTCTGTGCAAGCATTCTTGTGTTCCCTCCTCTTCCTGACCGCACAAGGCCTGGGAGGAGTGAGGGTGTCCTTGCTTTTCTACTCCAAAATCAGAAATCTTGTTGCAGATATGTATTTTCCAAGCTAGTGATACTCACAGGCCGGCTTTTGTTCCACTGCAGTCAATGTTGAGGGCCCCTCGAGTGAGCACAGGGTCTGGCACTATGAAAAAACTTGTGTGAAAAAGAAAAGATATGTTTGGATTAAACTGATCGAAATATATTGGTTAATGCTCTGTCTGCTGCTCTCCTAGCTACATCATTGAGAAGGGAGTGTGTTACTTGGTCCTGTGTGAAGCTGCGTTCCCCAAGAAACTGGCCTTTGCCTATCTGGAGGACTTGCACTCCGAGTTTGATGAGCAGCATGGCAAGAAGGTGCCGACGGTCTCCAGGCCCTATTCCTTCATTGAGTTTGGTGAGGTCCCTCTCCCTGCGGCTAGCTGGGAAACTTCTTGGAAGGGTGGGAATGAGGAGCGGAGGGATCCTCTGGAACTTGACTTTGGGAATTGTCACTTCAACTTCCTCTTGGTACTACAAAAATGGATGGTTTGAGCAAGGAGTACTTGCAAGCAGAGAAATAATAGGAAATCATAAATGTGCTTTGATTCACTTTCTCTGTTTTGAGTCTCTTTAACTCTTAGCTTTTGTCCAGTGCCCTTGAGCCCCCGATGAAAGGGAGTGGGATGAAGGTGTGGAGAACCAGTATCTGCCCGGGTGCTGGAAGAGGAAGGCGAGCTCTGGATCTCTTGGCATTGCAGCAGGAAGGTCTCTCAGCCACCCTGCCTTGCTCTGAGGCTGAAGTCCCTCTGTGCTGGCCTGGTGGGACAGCCCCTGCAGAGCAGTGTAACAAGGAGCCCAAAGGACTCTTGTGCTGTTCTGCTCCAGCCTTTCCCATTTTCCAGCAAAAGAAGCCTTAGGCTAACTGAATGGCTTTGCACCCCACACACCTTTTGTGCCAGTGTTTGCAGGTGCCTTTCTGCGAGCACTGTTAACAGAAACCCTGAAGCTGTTTCACAGTGCCCCCCTGATGTCTCCAGTCCTCTCAGGACAAGGGTGCCTCAGTTGAAGAGAGTTCAAGCTGAAACAGAGGCCGTTTGGTTCCTGTGCTTGGCAAAGCAAGCAGTGGGGAAATCGGCCTTTCCCCTGACAGTCCCCTCCTGTTCCAGACACCTACATCCAGAAAACCAAGAAGCTCTACATTGACAGCCGGGCGCGGAGGAACCTGGGTTCCATCAACACAGAGCTGCAGGACGTGCAGAGAATTATGGTGGCCAACATCGAGGAGGTCTTGCAGCGAGGAGAGGCGCTCTCAGGTACGGGGAGCAGCTCCCCTGTGGGACACGGCTCCTTGAACCATGCTCAAGGCTCCTGAGAAAAGCAATGGCGTTAATGGGTATTTTGTTTTAATTGGCTGCATGTTGAAGCAGCCAGCAGTAGTGTCTCGTGCCTGGGTGGCCCTTATCCTGGTGGGGCAGGCACTGCAGCACTGCGGGTGGCACAAGGCAGGCTGCCCTGTGGTCCCCCTGCACCTCCTCTCGCTTCGGAGCAGCTCCTGGGCTGTGAGATTTGGGGAACATCTGGTCGTGTTAATCCCGAGAGTAACTTCTCTGCCCTTTCCCTTGAACAGCTCTTGATTCCAAGGCCAACAACTTGTCCAGCTTGTCCAAGAAGTACCGCCAGGATGCCAAGTACCTGAACATGCGCTCCACGTACGCCAAGCTGGCAGCGGTCGCTGTGTTTTTTATCATGTTGATCGTCTACGTGCGGTTCTGGTGGCTGTGAGCTGGTTACAGTCACCGAGGAGGGAAAGCCTGTAGCCTGGCAGGTGTATTTGTGCAGGACACTGTTCACGGGGATGTGCATTAGAATCCACGCAGGACCCTCACCTTTATGGGTGCGTCCAGGAAATGTTAGGCGACACCTGAGTACGACACCTCTTAGTGAATCCTAACCATAGGTAGAAAGGCTTGTGGACTACAGGCTTCTCCTCTGAGACAGTTTGCACTAGGGGACTGTAGGGTTTGACCTCCCGGAGTTCTGCACCCCTGCTTGGGTGAGCTCTGGGAGCAGTCAATGGGTGCAAGAATCACGCTGTACGTCCTCGTGTTGAGTAGCTCTAGTGGGAACTGGACTCTAATGAACATTCCTTGTGTTGGTAATGTTTGCTTTTCTAGCATCTGGGTCTGCAGTTGTTGGGTTGTTTTTTTTTTTGTTACTTTTTTTTTCTTTTTTAAGAGAAGACTCCCCTGTTTGAAGGCAAATTCTGCACTCTACATATGATGCTACCTTTCACCTCTTGAACTAGCTATATCGTTGAGTTCCTTTCTGAACAACTTTGCTTGTTACACTTTCAGTTATTTTAGGAACAAATGGATGTTAAATTATGCCTTAAAATACATTCTGGCTAGGACTAGGAGAGGCAATGGAACACCCTCTCCATTATCAATTCCTACACAATTAAACTGCAGGTTTCTAAGTGTCCACTTTCCCTCTCCCAACAGCTATGTATGAGAGCTTGTTTCCGTGGGGTTAAGAACAGGGTGCTTAAATGCTGTTGGAGCAGGCACAGAGCAGGCAATGTCAGCACTCTGGTTTTTTCCCTTTTATCTGTAGGTTCACTATGTTATTTCCTTCTTCTTTGTTGCTGTGCTTTCCAAAACATGTAAAAACTGCCATCTCTGGGACACTTTCTTTCTCCCTCTTCATTTCACCCCAGACAACCAAAAAGGAAACAACCAAATCCCCCAAACTCTGAATGTTGTTGTGAAGAGAAGGCAGTGTTTCCTCAATGAATGTTTTAACTTTGTGAAGGATCCAGGCAGACAGCAGCTTTGGAAGCAGTGGAATCCTTTGGAAATGCCACCTTTATTTCCCCCTTGTTGTCACCCTCTCCCTACCTCACTTGGGAAGTTGAAACTGTAGCTGAAGGAAAATCTTGTGGGACAATAGTATCTAAGCTGCTTGTTTCTCATGGGCCAATCTATATAGTTCCAGTGTAATGTGATTTTTGTCCACCTGTGCTAGGAATAACATTTTATCAGTTTTCTTTTTTTTTAAAAAAGGAAAGAAAACCTGCAGCTCATGTATTTGTGCTCTTCTTCGTCCGCACTTGGGCGCCTGTTTCTGCAACAGTGTAGGAAACAAGCAGCATCACAGAAACAAGTGTCAGGGTTCCCCATCACCTTTGGAAATCACACGATCCTGGGAGGTCCTGGAAGTGCAAACTGTGACGTGGAAGTGTTTCCTGATGCTGGGTTGGGAGCAGGACACTCATCCCAGCTGGAAGCACAGCCTTGCTTGGCTCCTCTTTGGAGCAGCAGGGAAGCAGATGGCACTTGTCCACCCCGGATGGATCACCCTAGTGATGGCTCTGTCACCTAGTCTTAAATCACCTGGTTTCTGCATGGTGCCTCTGTGTGTTACTTCGTAGCTTGCTGTGTTATTTTTTAATCTTTTGAAGTTGTATCCCTAACAGGCGAAGGTCCCAGAGATGTAGGTCTGTGTGTAACGTAGGTCCTGGAAGGTGAGCAGACACCGACTGTAGCGGGATGGTGACTCGGGGGAGGGATGTGCTCTGCAGCCAAGGGCCGCCCCGCTGTCCGCAGTGAAATAAAAGCTTCTGAAACCCCCTGTTGCGCCTGTTTCCTGGCTCGTATTTGCATGCGCTTGGAGGATGCTGTCTGGGGGAAAGGGGGCAGAAGCCTTTCGGGGAAGACCCCGTAGCTGAAGCCAGCTGGGATGACCGCAGGTAGGTGTGGGTGTCCCCAGGGTGTCCCCAGGCTGGGGCCACAAGGTGCTGGCGCTGCTGCCTGCAGGTGGCAGTGCCTCTGCGGAGCGGCCGTGACTGAGGTGCTCTGCCTCGTCGCGGGGCTCCCGTGCAGCTCTGCTTCGTCCCGGGGCTCCCGTGCAGCTCTGCCTCGTCCTGGGGCTCCCGTGCAGCTCTGCCTCGTCCCGGGGCTCCCGTGCAGCTCTGCCT